ATTCTAAAGCTTTTTGTCTATTCTATAAGTCCCGGTGATGATGTTGTTGTGGTGTTAAGAATGGGTCGGTCTGCAGGCCTTAGCAAGTAGTAGGAGTATCCGCCTGGTTGATGCCCCAGTCCACAGTCCGACCTGACCCCAATAAGTTCTGAGTTATACAATGCTAGAAATAAAAACATAGTTTACCTAGTCGTGATTTCACTACTCTACCAGTCTAAGCTAGGTGCTAAAGAGGAAAACATATCAATTGCCTCAGCCCTCCAAATGTCTTGTTGCAGTGAGACTCCATTCTCAGCGCTAAAAACCAGGTTTCTTGGGTTGTCCCGGGAGTATACTGGCCACCTTACTTTCAAATCGGACACTGCTTAACATTAGCCGGCTTTCTTTAAAAACAGGCGCTTTCTCCAAAGCACTTAATGGTAGGAATAATTAACTATGGCAGGGGAGACTTACCATAGTGAAAGTTAGGTGATCCTGTAACCACGAAGCTGATCCACATACGACTCATAATTTCAGCTAGCTTCAAATACTTCTGCCTCTTCTTAGGCTCAGAAGGGAAAGGGTCGGTATCCCAACCAACGGCTTTGGTATTAGCAAAGGTAAATGGAATTTCCTGAAAGTGAGCCACGCCGAGTGTTTCGAGGTCCAGGTTGGCAGGCGGAGTGTCAAAGAAATAACTATAGCTTGGCGTGCGGTAATCAGCCCACTTCTGGCTGGCGAATCGTCGACCAGCCGTAAAGAGAGCGTCTCCAAGCCAGAGGCTTGTCTTTCCATACTGGGCTCCTAGCTGTGGGCCTGGATTAGACAGAATTGATCCCAAGCTTGCAGGAGAGGGCCTATCGACTTCCATCTGATACAACGTGGACCAATTGGCCAAGGCTGCTTCTTCCACGGGTCGCCCAAGAAGTCCCTTGACGGACGCCAAAAACTCATCATCAGAGTTTACTGTTAAACCAAGTAGCTGCGTAAAAGACGTGCCTTCATTTCGGTTAGACCCAGTCAGGAGAGGAACTTTAACGAACGATCCCGACTCGAGAAGACGTGAGCCAGTTGACGTAAAAAGCTCACCATCGACGACCCAGGCCGTAGGAAGCATCTGACTGACTCTTCTCAGCGCCTCGCCGGGAACAGCACGCAGACATGATAGCTGATCTTTCGCCTCAGTACAGCCCGTTTCCTCTAGTACTTTGTTCGAGTAGGCCTCCGTCTCAGTTGCGTTGCGATATGAAGACGATGATAGAGGACCTCCGCTTTGCGCAATAGCGCCGCTGAAAAGCCCCTCGTTCCGACCTCCATAAGCGATGAGATGCTGACCGACAGAAGAAGCGCCTGCAGATTCCCCAGCAATAGTGACTCGCGAAGCATCGCCGCCGAAATATGCTATGTTTTCCTGTACCCATCGAAGCGCCTGGCGTTGGTCGTGGATGAAGACATTCGGTGGCCCAGCCTTTGCTGCAGCCGGCCCGTTCATCATGCCAAAAACGCCCAGGCGGTAATTAAAACTGACAAAGATGATAGGCGTGCCCATCTGAACTGACGTCTCGACTAAAAATGAGCCATTGTATCTGGGATCCCCTGCGCTACCCTCAACCCAGGCGCCGCCGTGAATCCAGGCAAAGACCGGAAGCTTGCGAGACTTGTTGATGCCAGACGGACGGATGATGTTAATATGGAGGCAATCCTCGCTCATGGGCGCAGACGTGTTCTGGCTGAATCCTACGAGTCCAGCAGAGTTGCCTAAACACAACGGTCCATATGACTTGGCTGATTTGATCCCCTTCCAAGGCTTTGGTGGCTGAGGCAAGCTAAATCGAAGGTTTCCGGTCGGGCTCGCTGCGAATGGTACGCCGAGGAATGCATCTTGATGGCGGACTGAGTCATATGAGCCTGCTAATGTTCCATTTCTGATATTGACAATGGGAGTAGAAATGTGTGTTGTTGGAGTAGCCCAAGAAAGTGGTGCAAGGAAAGGGAGAGCCCACAGTATGTGGAAAATGAGCTTCAGAGCACGCTGCATTTTAGCAGTATTTAGACTGGTTAAAGTATATAGAGATAGATGCCCAAGTGTGAGGAGTTGAGGACCTTGACTTTAAGGAATCGTGCTGCATTTATATAATTACGGCAAGCTAAACTACAAAATCGCAAAGCGGCAGATGACAACGGACTACGGAAAAGTGTGAAGTGCGCGCCCTTACAAATCAGCCTCGACATGTAAAAAGATCCGAACACAGATGCGACCGCTATTTAGATTAGCTTGATCCAAAAGTTTCACAAACGCAATATCAGGAAATTGCGGCATAAGCTACCTCCACCTTACCTCAGACATTAATCAGCATTAGTCGCCCCACTGCCAAATTTCCATCAATTACAGTATTTCCTATTTTAGCTTTAAAAGGAAATCTAGGCATGCATAAGAACATAGCACATGACAATAAGACCACGATACTCGCATCTTAGGACTGTAGTTAATTAAGACCATAGGTAGAATGAACTGGTCATAATACATATCCTTCAATACATTTTGAACAAGGTGTGTGTGTTTGTGTGTTTCTCTTTCTGGCCATCAACCAGTCTCCATCTCTTTGAAACAATGATTTCCTCAGTTAGTTCTCAACAATCAGATTTGTCATAACCAAATTACAAGGCTAATCTTAATCTTGCACTTCAGGCCCTTCAAGATAAACCAAAACTAGGTATCCCACGCGCCGCAGAGATCTATAAAGTCAATCGTAATAACTTACGTCGCCGCCAGCAAGGGGTTTAATACGGAAGCTATCTGACCTTGAAAAAGAGACTCTTCTTGAGTTTATTATCGACCTAGATTCGCGAGGATATCCCCCGCGACTGCGTGGTATTGAAGAAATGGCTACTCGACTGCTTAATAACCACGATGCATCTCTAGTTGACAAGCGATGGGCTATTAATTTCATTCAGCAGCAACCAGACCTTAAGACGTGTTTTCAGCGGAGGATATACAACAGATTTAAATACAAGAGAACCCTGCATATATCTCACTCGATACCACCCACGAGGCTTGTAACCCTGTCTTAGTGCTACTGCGTCTGATTAATCTGTCGTCCGAGATAGACCCCGGTTAAATTGCGGCTCAGTGAGTTTTCCTGGCTGACCGCGTCGGTCACTCCGGACGTTGAGCGCTACCACTCCAGAGCCAGGATGAATGGATCTCCATGCGCAACAGAGGGGTTCTGGTCTAATGAAAAAGAATACACTGCTGCGAGTTTCAGTCACCACCTCAGCCAAGTCCAGACTAGGTGGCATCTAGTTCATGGGCAACAGTGGTTCCGGGCGCAACTGAGGCCTTGCATGAATAACGGACAAACATGAAACTTATGCAACGCTACCCGAAGGACTGTATCGCCTTGGGTTCTCGGTAAGAAGCTCTGAGGGAGATATCACCACGGCCGTATTAAACCCCTCCTGGAGTCAGAGAAATTCATTCATACTCATTAGAGCTAATTTATCCATCCGTCATGGCCTTAAACGACCCGGTTGCGGACCCCGGATTTACCACGGGAGGACCTCACCCCGCTTGGCCAAGAACTGATTCACCTCGTCGTCCCTATCACCCCTCACAATCTCCGTTATCCCCTGGGCACTCGTCTCCGAAGACTCTGCCCCTCGGTCAATCTTGCTCTGCTTATCCTCCCCGGTCAAGTTGGTGACCACAAACCCAGGGCAAAACGACCAGACCTTCGCTGGGTGCTCCCATTCCTTGAACTTATAGGCCTGAATTCCGGTAACCATGTTCAGCGCCGCTTTGCTGACGCGGTACGTCTCTCCCGTAACCTGTGTATATGGGGACGAGTGATCGTTCCGCACCGTGATGGAGCCGAGGACCGAGGAGACGTTGATGATCCGAGGATCGCGGGACTTCCGCAGCAGATGCTCCAGTGCCTGGGTCAGGAGCATGGTGCTGAAGACGTTGGTGTCGAAGACGGTGTGGAAATTCTCTCGCGAGACCTCTTCCTTGCCTGAAATGCCGGCGTTATTGACGAGTACGTCGAGGACGCCAAAGTCAGACTCTAGTTTCTGCGCGGCAGCCTTGATGGACTCGTCGGAGGTGATATCGAGCTCAAGGAAGCTGAGTGTGCCGGCAGGCTTACGTGCCTGGATCTCGTTGAGAGCTGCAAGGCCCTTGATGCTGGAACGGGCACCTATGATGATGTGGTTGTCTGGCGAGTCATTGGCGAGGGCGTAGGAGGTGTCATAGCCAATGCCGGAGTTGGCGCCTGGGAAAGCTAAGAGTAAGCCAACAGAAAATTGACACTTGAGGAAAGTGATACTGACCAGTGATGAGAATGATCCTCTTGTTGAGTGCCATGATAATGTAATTGGGTGCTGATTCGGGCTGAGCAGAAATTGATGGAGAGAGCAGGTTCGAAGACTGTTGCGGTTGGAATATGCATTCTGTAACTCAAGGGATGATGCTGTCTAGTTTTATACACTTTTATAGCGAAATAGGAATCCAGTCTCGCCATACCACGTGGTTTTGCGTGACTGCGTACCTCTACGGGCTGGATGTCCGAGGTTGAGAGTCGATTATGGACTGGCGGACCATCTTCGTCCGCGTGAGATGTCGTAGGCTAGTCTACTTCTGGTAAGTTACCTGGCCGGACTGACGTCTTAACGTAGTAGTTGCTCGTAGTTCAGCTTTGTGGTGTCTTCTGCGGCAAAGTAAAAGCTTGATTATAAATACCGGGCTCGAAGATCCGCTGATCAGTTAATACCTGGGAGTATTGTATTAGTACATTACCGCTGGTTCTTATCCAAATAGCAAGATACACCGTTGCATCAGCAAACAAACAAACAAATGTCCTCTCGGAGACTATGGCTCAAGCTGTCATCGAGCCTTGAGCACAGGAACAGAGCAGCAAATTCCACGGCATAGAGACATCTCAGGAGTCATAGGCGGCAGCGATTTGGGTATGTTCGCACGGTAGTCAGCACTCTCGGCCTGGTGCCCCCCAGACATTGAAAGAATGGAAGAGGAGCGTTCTAGTGGAGCTAAGTTTGTAAGTGAAGGAACGCTTTGTCATAAGGCCGTGTTGAGACCCAGTCTCTCCTTATCCCAAACGCCGCTAAGCGGAACTCTCCCGACCGCCAGCTCGGGCTTAGGCGCTCTACCCCTAATACGTCATGTAGCTTGAGATTAAGCTCGAGAGTCGGCGAGAAGGTTTCGCCGGTTGCGAAACGGGGAAGCTTCTGGGTTCTGAAAAAGCCCGACGGCACTTGTCAGCTGAGTTACCCTGCCGCACGCAATAGGTACAATCTGGAAGAAAAGACTCGGCCCTTGTTAATTCGGCGTAATGAGACGTAAACTGAGAAAATCTCAGGGTCTTAGGTGTGGATCTTGAAAAGTTAGCTATGCTAAAAAGAGGGACACGCTACTTCGGAAGATATCCATAGCCTGGGTGAGGACTCGCCGATCTGGTTGTTCCCTGCGCACGGACGGTCTTGGGTGCGTATTGCGCGTATCAAGACGTATAACAACGTATTCGCCAAATTGTGGTGGATCCTAACGGGTCCTGGACTTTGGCGGCGTCATTGGATTGGTTCAAGCGCAAGGCTAGTGGCAACCATAAGCCGGGGCCGTGCAGTAAGCCCGGACCCCTAATTGGCGTTCGCTCCTTGGGGACGTCTTCAGGGGAGGGGGAACGTCGGGAGGATGACGAGAGTGGGCTCTTTCCGAAAGGCCGTCGGCGAATATGTTGTGGAAGTGGGGCGAGCCTGCTGGTTGGGCGGTCCGCTCCCCGGTATGTGTCGTGCATCTTTTGTCGTTTCCCCATACTTACATTGTAAGCTTTAGGGGCGTTGATTCCCAAAGACGATTGGCTTCCCAGAGCCTGACGATAAACGTCAATAAAGTGACGAGACTGTACTCATGGGTTCCCGAATGCATGCACTCTAGGAGGTTAGTTACCCAAACTTCCAACAGTGAGTGACACATGACAAGTGTTGCAGCAAGTTAATGATGTGATAGTACCAGAGTAGAAAATGTGTGTTCGCTGGGGTAAAACGTTGTCATCCACACTGGGACTCCAGATGACGACAAATCTGGCAAACCCGCCGAAACTTAAAATAAACTCAGATCTAAAGTCCGAGTCGTTCCAAATCCCGTCTGGCCCTTTATTAACTGCCGAGTGGATTAGAAATCAACATAAACACCGTATACAATAATCTTTCGGCCTACATGCTCTCAAAGACCTCGGCTGATTACCTCACTAGGCCGAGGCTTAGTGCAGTCATGGAAGTGCTCTCCTGGCTCAATACGATACGTGAAGAGAAGTAGATTTAAAGACTACTCTTGTCCCATACCGGTCAAATCTATTCTTCTATGTAGGACATATCACCGACCGCAATATTCAACCCCCAGAACCCAAGTATCATCAATATGGTGAGATCTATCGGCAACCTGTTCGTCGGTCATTGCTTACGAATGTAGCCACGATACAACACAGTCAGTGTTTCACCAAACGTCAACGGCGTCGTGCGAATCACCATACACAATGGTGGTTCGAATCTGTGGGACTGGAAACTCAACGAGGATATCGCAGAGGCACTCGACACCTTCAACGACAATACGGAAGTCAAGGTAGTCATATTTTCCAGTGGAAACCCAAACTTCTTCATCGCTCACTATGACATGAGGCCATCCGGTCCAGGTAAGGAGATCTTTGAATATCTGCTTAGATCTAATGCACTAATCAAAGCCAGACGCACCGCCCATTGACGTTCAGACAAAGAAGTTATTCCAAAACATTCTGTTCAAGATGTTACGATCCCCGATCGTGTTCATCGCCGAGATTGCTGGTGCTGCTCGAGGCATTGGCAGCGAATTCGCTCTTCATTGCGACATGCGTTTTGCGGCTAGAGGAAAAACGCGCCTCGGACAACCAGAAGTCCGAGTGGGACTATTGCCAGGAGCCGGTGGTGTCCAGCAGCTCGTACAGTTACTCGGACGTGGCCGAGCGTTTCAGCACATCCTTACAGGTGTTGACATCGATGCCGATACCGCAGAAAGGATTGGCTGGATCAACCAAGCTTTCGAGGCTGAAGAATTGTCTCAGAAGGTTGGTGACCTTGCCAAGAGGATTGCATTGTTTCCTTCGGATGCATTGGCAGCTTCGAAGGATAGTATCAATGCATGTTCTTGTCCCAGCGAGTCAGATATCTTGCGGGATAATGAAAGTATTTTCACTCTCATGGCGAAGGATACACAGCGAAAGCTGGCTGGAAAGCTTTACGAGGTGACGAAAGACTTGGATTATCGTGATGGCCCCGTCGACGACGGCAAGGTGCTTAAATACCTTTATGAGAACTAGTAGTGTCACTAGGCTGTACTTGCTTTGTATCGTTAGTCGCAATTTCGATTTTATCACAATAAATCACAGCCCTGAATAAACTATCAAAACGGGAGAATTCGGCGATGATGTTGACGATGTACTACGGCCACGAGGAGTCGTCAATCTAGGTGGGCCAGCTGCAACAAATTGCAAAGCCTTTGAGCTGCTTGCTGGTAGCAAGAAGAGGTTCGAGGAGCTATTCCGAGTGAAGAAACCGGTGTTCCATGCACTGATCCTGTGATGAGCACACGCTCCAAAGCGGCACGAGATATCAATGCCCTGAAGGTCTTTATAATAACAGGGCATTACAGAAGAAAGTGGGGCTATCCCTTTCAATGTGGTAAGACTACACTTGCGATCGTAGCAGGGATATGAACCAACGAACAGGGGAGTAATACGAGGTACAAGAGCCCCCTCCTATGTTATGAGGCGCTAGAAGTTACGGCTGTTAGAGATCTACATCCTAATACACATGCCTTGTGCATCGCTAGCTAGCCTTTTAAAGTCAACCAGCGTACCGCTGATCCAGACATGGCTATATGAATATTCAAATAAGGCCTTATATGAATATGCATGAATATATTCATATTCATATCCATATAATATATGAATATAATATGTACTTGCGTATCCATATTCATGCATATTCATATAAGGGAGGGGTTCCTGATTGGCTCAAATTAGATCTAATCTCTCTAGATGATTGGTACTAGTCACATCCAGTCTCATTAGCTTAAGCTACAGGTCTCGACGCAGCCATTAGGTATTTAGAGAGCTACCACCACTCTGTCACAGTTTCTGATGGATCTGGATCATAGGGATAGAATCTCTTGATTTTTCCATCTGATGAGTGGAAATAGGTCGATTTCTTTACCCCTAAGACGAATTGGGCCTCCAGGGCCCTTGTGTTGAAGAACTCGCTTTTTGGGAGACATAGGTGATACCAACCTCTGACGGGAAGTCCGGACTTCCGGACTGCCGGTCTGAGCAGCCTGTTTGAACAGCTGGAAGACTTTCCTTCCAGTTTAACCAAATGTATCACCTTTGGTGGTCTGCTGGATGTGACAAACTACAAATACACTTCATGCCAGCACCAATCTCTCTACCCGAAAATCTCTTGATTACATCTTAAAGAAAAATCTCCAGTTGTCGCATACCATGCAGTAACGTACTGCTTATTAGCATCTATGGCTTCCCAGGCTTCTGAGATATCAGCCTCAGGGACTAACAACGCTTCTATAGGCTCGTTTGCATCGAAACTTTCATGGAATTTCAATGCCTTTTTCTACATAGATTATCCCGAAAAAACATCTCCAAGCTGAGATTGGCCCGAAGCGCAGAAAGACCAAGGGACACCGTGCTTACGTTTGTCTTCACTGTCAGAATCCTCCATGGTCAAATCGAGTGCCTGGCAACGCTATACACCATGCAGAAACGGCTCACCGAGCCCTTATAAGAGCAAGCGAGTGTCACGGGTTGGGCTCGGTATACAGGTGAACGGGGAACGCTTCAGGCGGAACAGAATCTATTGCTACGGGTAGGCACTGCAGACAGGTCAGGCTCTATTGACAAGACGTAGCTCAAGGAGCTACGTTCAGGAGCTATCTGGCAGTTGGTCAAGAGCTTCTGCGATAACGTATCGCCACGTGACCGAGATCCACTCGGCGTATCGGTCTAGGGTAACCGGGTCTGGTCTTGCGCTGTGACAGCGAGGCTGCTAATGATACTCCTAGTACATTTGCCTCGGGTGTTTTATCTGGCGCTATCGATTCGTATATCGTCTCTCGTCCTTCGCAGGCTGCTCTCCGCAACTGTTTTAATAAGCAAGCCTATATTGAGGCAGTTGTAGGGCTTCTAACAAGGCGCAGGCTGCCATTTTCGGCAGTTGAGTACTCTGAGCTGCGAGATCTGGCTCTGGCATGTAATCCAGCCATCGGGGACCTTCTCATCAACGATTGAAAGCAGGCTATGGGCTATATTAACTCGAACTACTCGTTATACAGCTCACAACTTGCCGAGAGGCTTCAAACACCGCAGTCGAAGATGCACATATCTTCTGATCTCTGGACATCGCCACATCGCCATGGCGTACTCGCTGTATGCGTTCAGTGGGTCGATGAGGACTTCAAGCTCCAGAAAGCACTACTAGGACTGCCAGAGTGCAAATACAGCCATTCTGGTGTTACGCAGGCTGAGTTGATCGCCGGTACGCTACGAAAGTTCAACATTACTGCTCAAAGCCTCGGCTACTATATAGGCGATAATGCTACATCAAACGACACCTGTTTAGATGAGCTATCAAAGGTTTTGGAGGCGGAATCAGGTGTAAGTTACTCTTGGCCGCTCATAGTGCTGTAGTCTATACTAAGTTATAGTATAGGCTGAGTCAGTGCTGGATAGCCACGCTATGAAACTGAAACTCCTCCCAGTTTCAGTTTCATGAAACCGGGCGTCAGTGTAGTTTCAGTTTCATATGAACCGGTTTCAGTCTCATACGAAACAATATCCAGTTGCAGTCCAAATTTTTGACAAGCTCGGCATCAATATACACCTTATCTCCAAGTACCCCAAAGATGTTTGGCATTGTCTGCCTACCTACACTACTAATTCTCTAGGCTCGTCATCACTTTCTGCCCCCTTACTCATCTCTATATCTTCTTGGAGTATCCTTACAGCCGCGTCGATATCCTCCGCTTCCCTAAACACCCCTGCAAGAAGCGGCCTGCTCTTTCCCTTTGGAACACTTATCCAACTTTTAATGCACTCACATGCCTCTACCATTTTGGCAGACATGCTACTTCTATCCCATGTAACCTGCCGTCTTGCGCCTGAGAAGATTCGCTCTGCTTCCGTAGACATGGGGGGGATGCAGAATATGTCAATAGCCATACGGCAGAGGAGGGGGAAATTCTCTCGCTGGGTCGGTTCAAGCCACCACTGTAAGGCCGTTTGCTGTCCAATCCCAACCTGTGAGCCCTGAGAAGCATCGTCAAAACCAGGCCATTAGAAGGCTTCAAATTACTTACATAAATAAAGCGGTCGAATTCATCCTTCACCTCACTCGCTGTGCTGTACACCTTCTGCCTCCAGCGATCAAACTCATCGAGTTCTTGCCCTTTCTCCTGTTGTTTATCTGGGAGCTGGTAGATCTTGTACTCTGTGGACCAGATCTTCCTTACAGCCTTCACGGCATTGCTGACCCAGGCTGGGTTTCTCTTCCACTGCTCACTCAGATAGCTCTTTCGGAGTGCTGGGTGGAGGAGAATACCGGCCACGTACACCGGGGCTTGTTCGGTAAGCTGGTAATACTTCTCGAACTTTAGCCAAGCCACGTGAAAGCGCGCGTAGAAGCGTGGGCCGCTGAAAGCCCGGTTTTTAGTCCGCGTGAAGTGATGATGGAGGATACCCATATGGGAGAGAACTTCATCGAGTGTATTCTCCCGGCCTTGGCGCACCGAGATCTGGTGGAATACTTGTAAGAACGCATGAATATCCCCGAGTTCGTTCCAGTTCCAGTCGTTGTGGTCCAGTGCATCTTTCTCGATTTTGGCATGATTTTCTTGAATCCAATCCATGAACTTTGCCCGCTTCTCAATTGCCACATCAATGAGGCGAAACCATGAATTCCAACGTGTGTCATTGTCCCTCGGCAAGGCCCTGCCAATCTCGGCCTTGAAGTCGTTGTAAATGCTGGTAGAGCTCCTTGAATATATGCACAAGTTGTGGAGTTTCCCCAGAACACTAAACTCCCGCCATTCCTCGGTAGCTTGTGCCTTCGTAATAATGCCCCCTTCTTCTTTTTCGGATAGCCTGCACAGCCGCTCGTACGCCTCATCAATCCCCTCTCTCTCATCCTCCTGAATCTTCGTTGCTTTACTCCGAAAGAGGAAGGCTTGAACGATGAGGTTCATGATGTGGCCACTGCAGCGTAGTCGCCTGGCAACCGGATCTAAACCATCAATCTCTTTTGCGATATCGCCAAGCATAGTGTCGTTAGCGTCGTGGTTTACCATCGTAAAGTAGCCAACCTTTCCTCTGAGATCGTACTCTTCGACAACCTCCAGGAAAGCCTTGGCTTGCAATTTCCCGTTGTGGCTTCCTTTGAACTCGCGCAGTGACAATAACGCTTGAGCGACTCCTCTCGTCTCCGCATCTACAAAATGGACCACGATTGCTTGGTATGCCGCCTTCTGTTCTGATGAGGTCCACATGTCAATGGTGAAGTGGACCATAGATGAGAGAGAATTATGAAGCTTCTTAACGAGCCCTTGTTTGTGTTGAGCGAAAGTCTTTTTGAGAAGCTTCGGCACCGCTCTGCGGCTGCGTAGGAGGACGTCCCGGGCCATATAATTGCAGGAGAGTATAACAGCATGAAACTCGGGGTACTCGATGAATGTATGGGCGATATTGCGAACCGCAAGAAGTCTGGCGAGTGCTTCCTCGAATGCAGGAATATTAATAGCGTTTGCCAAATATTCTTCCTCATTAAGGTCTCGATTGGCTTGACGTTCCTCCTGCCTTCCGAACAAGTCCGTAATGGTGCCATGTTGCTGCTTCTTCAGATCCGACCTTTCCACATGCTCTATCACCCGGATGCCATGAAAGTCCCGCAGGTGCTTGCGGGCTCGACTCAGGTTCGTCGTTACCGAATTAGGCTTTTTCGTGGAGTCGCAATGCTTGCAGTACCAAATTTCGTGGTATGAGGCATCGCGGGCTTTCTCCCCTCTCTCTTCATAAGGGCCACGCGCCTCGTTCCAAGTGCTTTTGTTTGTACGGCCTTTGGCGCGCTTGCTAGCCCGATCAGAGGGAGAGCGATCCAATGTGCGCTTCGCGGGAACGGGAGAACCAGGCGAAGCAGGCCCCAAGAGCTCATCAGAAGGCTCCGATAACAAGGGAGCGGGCGAAGCTGATGACATATTGTCGGACAATTACTTCCATAGGGATCAGTGATGGCACCAGTCAATTGATGAGAATTATCTAAAGAACAAATGAAATTGAACAACCATGTGTTCGGGCACAGCTATTTAAGCTCATGTCGTTAGGATTGGAGTCCTTGATGCGACAAGCCGAACGTAAAACCGGAGACACGACTCCAAAGTACGGGCCGCGTTTCACATCTAGTCGCACGAACCTAATGGTGATATGCGACACATATTTACTATTAGCAAGTTTCTAACTGCATTAAAGGCATTTGGTTTGCGAAAATTTCTTGGTTAAGTACTAAGATATTTGGGACTCATCGGGCGTATATGAAACATATGAAACTGGGGGAGTTACTGTTTCATACGAAACCGGGTCCAGGGACTGTTTCAGTTTCATATGAAACAGTATGAAACAACACGCGTGGCTATCCAGCACTGCCACGAGCGACGTTATCATCGCTCAAAATAAAAGGCAGGTCGATGCGCACCTCTCCACAAAACCTACCCACATATGGAACCACTCTTTCAGCCCCGTGCTGTTCGACGTAATCGGGTGGGGCTTTGGAATTGCAAAAGTGATGTCTCAACTTTTCTCGAGGTGTGGAGACGCTAGCTAACGCCGTAAGTCAAAAGAGGAAATGTTTCGGTAAGCGGCTTGCGGATCGACCTTCCCCTGAGATCTGGTCAAGCGTCTAACATGGCCTCTTAGAGTAACGTTCCTCTGTAATAGGTGAATCCGACGGACGTAGGATTGCCATGGGATGAGTACGCCGTGTATCTGTATGAACTAGATGCGCGCCCTTGGCTTGACATTAGGGCGCAAGTGGCTCGGATGATAATTGAACAAGAGATTCGCGGTGACATTATCAGTACAACCCACTATGGTAACTCCGTTCACCAACACTGAAGTTCTAAGGAAGGTAACTCCGAACGAATATGGCCATACGTAAAAAGACTTCCTATACATACTCTTGCAAATCGTTATAATTAGCCCCGTGCAGTCCACCCTTAGTCCGAGCTAATAACATTAAACGGTCAAATGTCAACCTTGGAAAAGAGCCACAAAATGGGAGAGATGGGCATCTCCAAGGCGTTATCAAAGCTCCGAAACTGGCGACGAGCCTGCAATCTCGAGATAGAACTCAACCACCACTATCAGTCCAAGATCTACTCGTCCAGCTCTGTTGTTCAAGGTCGCTTGATCATTTCGCCGTCCAGCAATTTTGATGCTTCCTCAATCAGTGTCTCCCTTGGTGGAGTTACTAAAATCATCGCGACTGGTTAACACATTACATCTACCACTGCACATCGCTTCCTGAAGATTGATGTGATCACCCCCGAGATTCCAGAGTTAGTCTCGGACACACTTAAAAAAGACCAAGTTTACACCATACCTTTCCATTTCATCTTGCCTGATCAGCTAGACTCGACCATTTGTACCCACAAAGTCACAACAACTAGTGTGGGAGAACAGCACTTGTGCCTTCCTCCAACAATGGGAGGATGGGATCAAGAAGATATGAGCCCTGGGGCGGTTGGGATCGAGTATGCAATAAACGCATGCGTCAAGTCAAGTTCTCCTCTAGATTCCCGTGTCTCTCGAGACTTGACGGCCAAAAAAGCAATCAGATTTGTTCCAAAGTCCGTGGAGAGCCCACCACTACATGTGTCGTTGACGAGCCAACGATATAAGCTTCAAGCAGCAAAATGTCTTCGGCACAACTCCTTCACACAACCATTTGGCACCATCAGTGCAATAGCAACGCAACCCGAAGCACATCGCCTTCATCCTTATGGAGCGGTGATTGCTCCATCATTCATCGACATTAGTTTGACCTTCAATCCTGCAAAAAGTGGAATCTCGCCCCCGCAACCCAACGCCGTATCTCTTTCCGCTCGATCCTACACTTGGCACCAGGTCTATCCATATCAGATATTTCCCGACCTGCATGAACGGCCCAGTCTTAAAGAGCCAATTTGTGCAACAATTTCAGTAGATGTGGAATATTCGAAGATAGCGTGGTTGGAGCATCTAAGCCGCTCGCTTGAGGATGAGAACGGTGAGAACGCCTCTCCGACTTTCTACAGCTCAACTCTGAGATTGCCACTCTCTTTCTCGGCAACTACTAAGACTCTCCTACCGACATTCTATTCCTGCTTTGTATCCAGGACGTATGATGTTCGCCTGCGTCTCACATTTGGAAAGCAACATGTTACGATCGTCACTCCTCTCCAAATTATAGCTGAGGCTTGAACTGGGGGAACTTCTCTCAATCTGAACCTTGGTCAATGTACCTAACTCACGGCATAGAATCCTGATCCCTGACTCATAATCTAAAGCTTAGAGTAGACTAAGTGAATGTATTCTAGAACGCAATTATAAATGAAAACCTCGAACATGATGTAGCTCGATATATTGGTGCCAACAATATGATGTTTATGATGACGTGGTAGACTTTACAGAGGGAAAGAACAAAAAGAAAAAGAAAGAAAACGGCCAAATCGAATTACTCTCCATAGGCTGAGTTTTGGTCTTGCAATTGCTTGCATGCCGTCATTTGGGGTTGTACTGGTATCAGATCCCAACTGTTTCTATTGTCAATTGTCACGCACACTGACATAAGGCTTATTTCTCATGGAGCTCTGCCAAATCTTCTCGTGTTTCTCTGCTGATTCTATGTCGAAAGATGCCCAAGTAGCAAAACGCTTTTTCTGTAAAGCCAAATACTTTCAATTAGGAAACTCATATCAACAGTTCTATACTAGGAATTTGTCGATGTAAGCACCAAGCTCCTTCAATCCAGCAACTAACACCTCCGTTTCACTGACATAGCCCATGCGGACATAACCCTTAAAGTCTTCATCACCTAATCAAGAATTATCAGCAGAAACGCATTGCATTTCCTGTTTTTGATCAATCACCGTCTAGCATCTTCGCCCCATATTTCCCCCGATGAATGAATGAATGAATTTATTCCGCCCGGAAGGAAACGCCTCATAGGGCCCACAACGTTGTATCTCGTTACATTGCTTTCCCCTCATTTTACCCCTTACAACCGCAACCTCACCAGTCCTTACACCTTGCCACTTTCCCCAGCCTCGCTTGTCCCTGCGACAGGCCTGCTTGAAGGCCAACTTCTCCAAGTGTTCAGCGTCCCATCTTCAGCGGCTGAAGCCTGGTCTGTCTACTAGAGGCTGTACTATATTAGTTCTTGGTGTATTATGTCGTTTGGTTTGTTAGTGTATCTTGTATGTTTTCATGTCTGTGTAGCATCCAAACGACCTGTGCTTATCGCAAACTTGATCGCTGCTCGCACTGCTGCCAGGTTCGGCCTCCACGTATGCCCGTCTTCTGCCGTCTTGCCTCCCAGGAAGAATGATAGATTACCCATCATTTCCCGGTCGACATTTCGCATATGTTCTCCTTGTTCGTCCAACCGTGGACATCGGAAAAGGAAATGGTCGACCGAATCTTCTTCCTGGCCGCAGTCGCACATATCTGTCTCTGCTGCGCCTACCATGCAGTACCCACCTGCCGTACGTACCCACCTACCGTACAGCAAAAAGGAAATTCCCCCATACAAAATGCTATTTTTCAACCATATGTTAAAAATTCAACAAAAATAAAACCCGTGAAATGATTTTAGAATTTCGTTTTAGAATGAAATGGATTTTAATATTTTCGCGGTATTTTGACTTCACGCCCTGCGCGTGTGCGTACTACACCTAATTCTTCCTCCTCCGAATTTGAACTCTCAACTTCTTCTATCCCTCCCACCTCGATCACATCCTCAACAGCATCCGCCTCTTCAATTGCTTCGTTTGCCTCGGAAATAGTCTCACCAGTTACCAGAGCTTCTGCCAATGTCATGAATCTTTTGTTGGGATTCGGTATCGCCTTCCTCTTCTTGCCTCTGCTCAACCGGCCAACTTCCTCCTCCAGACTGGCTATTCTGGTGCTCAGAGAGGCGATCTTTGACTCTTGAGCTTCAAAGCCTTTCGATATCACAGAATAGCGCCTTCTTGTTGACGGGCTCTTGTTCTTCCCCATATCTCGGATGTGGCGGCTGGTCTTTGGCGTATTATCAGAGTCGACTTGCCCGTCTCGGTGGCCGTCCGACCCGGGCGTCGCTTCCTTCTTGTCCGGCTGAATATCAGGATGTATGAGCGCTTTCCGCCGTGAAATCGGCCAGTTTCCAGTCACTCTCTAGCCTGAGAGTATATTTTTCTTCGTCATACCCACTTCCCTGGCCTTGGCATAGGCCTTGATGAAGTTGACCTTGTCTACCGGCGCAGAATCGGTCAGGCTGGCGAGTTTCTGCAGTTCTTTTCGGTAGGCAGCCTTGGATACATTGAAGACGCCATTATCCAGCGGCTGCAGCCCATGAGAGCAGTGTGCAGGCAGGTAACAGCAATATACGTTGTTCAAAAAGCACGTAGCCATCCACTCATCCTGGATTTTCAGTCAGCGCCGTCAGCGGCATTTCCGATCTAGAACAGGTAGATACTCACAGATACATGGCTTCCATGGCCATCTAATATGATGAGCCTTGCCTCAGACTCATCCGCCGGTTGCGTTTGAGGCAGATAGACCTCCTTGAGCCACTCGACTGCGATATGGTTGTCCGTCCAGCCATTGTCGGACGTGATATAATACCAGTCGGAGATCCCCCGGAGCTCGTCTATAAACCACTGCTGCTGAAGCTCTTTACCTTTGAAGATAATCCCCGGCTTCAGAAGACGACCATCTGCGGTGACGGCTTCGATAAAGGTAGTCCAAGTGTGGGACTGAGAGCCCTTGAGGAAGGCCTTCCTCCTAGGATCGCTACTGCCAATAACCAAGGAATCCAAGCCTATATTTTTCAGTGGATTAGTGAATTTGGTAGCAAAAATGATCAATACTCACCAAATCCAGCCATGATACCGCCCTCGTCAACATTAACCGTGTTCTCCGGTTTGATCCAGCCATATTCGCTCTCCCGGATATCAAAGTACCAATTGACGGCCATTGGGGTAAAGGAATTGAACCTTGCAGCTTCCTGGCGTTTCCCCACCTTCGTCTTGATATCGTCATGGCGTTTAATGAACCTAGCTAGCCAGTGTACACCGATAGGCCTTTCCCGTCCTTGCTGTCTCAAGAGGGCAGCAACGGTGGCGCGAACTTGACTGTGAGAAGGAGCATAGCCCAAGGCCTCTTGTCGAAGTATCCAGGTAACCAATCTGGACTCCTCCGACTTGGATAGCAGCTGAGCAGGCTGGGTGACCTCGGATTTTGACGGTAGGCCTCTTAATCGGTCAGAGAGAGTGGTCGGAGGCACGCCGTTCTTCTGGGCGGCCTGGTTCTGGGAGAGGCCATTTTCTGTGACATCTAGTATGGCCTGGATAACATCGTCCTCCGTATAGGATGATTGAGGCATGTTTGAGGTGACCAAGGAAAGATGGGGAAGAGAAAAGTTTGGATGAAGCTTCGAGGAGGCTGGTTGATAAGGGAGGCATTTTGAGACATTTTATATTAGTTCCGTGCGACCACACCGCAAGCGTCATTGTGGAAGCAAAGTAGAAATATTAAATTCCATGCAATTCTTAATATAACAGACATTTTCTCATCAAAATATCTTTCATTTTGACAACGTACTCTATAAGTGAAATTGGGCATTTTGTATGGGGAAAATCTTTTTTTGGTGTACGGTAGGTGGGTACGTACGGCAGGTGGGTACTGCATGGTATCCTGCGCAGATACCTGTTGACCCGTGCCATTCCCGTTCGTAGTTGCACCAGTATGTCAGATTCGCGTCTCTTCAGGGCGTCATATAGTGTGCGCTGTCAAGGGCAAGGATTACGACCATCGTGAATAACTTCACAGTTGCCATGAACTCTAAATCGCAGGCAGCATCCTGCTGCCTAGACGATCGGCAGACTGAACATGAATATAAGAGACCGACTCTCGTCGCTCCTTTAGATAGAAAATCAAGTGCTCATTTGGTCTTGGCTGTCCATCCGCACATGCGATATGCGCGTGTGCTTGCCGGGCGGCGCCTTGTCGAGCCGCTTCGAATAGCTGCCTACGCTCTCAGGTAGCACCATGTGCTGTCGACGTTGTGCTAGTAGTACTCTCAGTCGGGTCGATCGGGCCTGGTACGGCGGTTTCATTGCTCTGCATCCGCTATCTGTGGCTTTTCGCGCTTCCGCCTTTGCTTTTACTCTCAGCGTGAAAGACTCGTTTGTGGACGATACCTAGCGCATTTTAATGGTGTTGCCACCCTTTTCCAGTCGTCTCACATGTCTGTAGATCTCCCGAATGGTGTCTTGCCCTGACTGCTGTCGAGGTGTCGCGATCGCTTGCAGTGCTGATCTATTTCTTGTTGCAATGATCACATCTCGATGTCAGAGACCGTCAGGCATGCACCTGAGGACTACTGCTATCGCTTCCAGCTCGGCCGTGTATGCGTTCTGCTCGTCTCTCAGGCCAAGAGTAACAGAGTACCTTGCTACTACCATCCACATCCCCTTTTTCGGCATAACCCTTCTTTCGGCAAGCAAAATAAAAAAGCCACCACCAAAAATCAACAACTTCACTTACACAGAACTTGACCGAATTGATAGAAATCCGTAAAATCTTTCGTTTCATAAATCATAAATAGGGTTTATCTATTGTATTCTGGTTTTTTTCACCATCCGCCGCGACCGCCTGGGTGGTTGGTGGGGTATGTTTTCCTCTCTGACTTCGATGACAGAACCAGCCTCCGATTCTGACTCTTGCTCGCTTGAAGAGACATATTCCACCCTGACGGGCGTATAACGAGTCGCCCCTTCTGGTATGGGCTCCTTACCAGCTAGAGTCTCCCCTAGAGTCATAAAACGTTTATTCGGATTCGACACCGCCTTCCTCTTCTTCCCTCTCTTCAGGCGAGCCAATTCTTCCTCTAGGCTAGCAATCCTCAGCGTATGCGCCGCTACCGTCTGCTGTTGTGCCTCAAAGCCCTTAGCTATCACGCTGTACCGTCTCCGTGTCTTTGGTGTTTTGTTCAACCCAAGGTCACGAATTTGACGGCTCGTCTGTGGAGTATCGTCCGAGCCAAGATACGGCCTAGGTTCAGGAGTCACTCTTGGGCCGCTGTTTGGCCTGTCCTGTTGGATTTCAGGGTGTCGCAGCGCTTTGGAACGCGAAATCGGCCAGTTGCCAGTGACCCTCCAGCCTGACAGTATGTTCTTCTTAGTCATTCCAACTCGGCGAGCCTTGGCGTAGGCCCTGAT